ACATCGAACTCTCCCTATAAACCCGGAAATTCTAAAATTCTAAAATACAAACTATGCTGTCTAATGATATGTCACCCCTTCTAGTCAGTACACCGGAATGGAGAAGACGATTGACCTTGAGGAAATTATGCTGCGAACATCCGAGTCGCTGTGATATCGGATTCAACTTAACCAAAATATATTAGAGTTAACAGTCCAATAGTACGCCGAAGAAATGCACAAAACAATGTTTCGTTTTACAAGACGAATTGCTAGCCGAGTACATCTCTTCGGTTGGAGGCAGTCCTAAAACTTATACGTAGCTCTCAAGATCAGCTGCATTAATTGTGATGGAGTTGAACATCGTTCTCGATAATGACGCTTGTTTTACGACCCTTTAATCGAAACCATTTACCGTTTGCAGACCGCAAATGCCATTCGCAGTTTCCCATGACACAGGCCCAACAAGGATTCATAATCAGTGGATTCATTGAATCGCATTAGCCGCGACTGTAGGGCAGCACGCATGACATGCTCATTCAGTTCGGCTTGCGCAAAACAATTAGAACTGAATAGCCTAATGTTACCACTCGACTAATACTATGCTTGGGTATCCATGTCTTTTTGAATTCCTGTTCGTTGCCAGCGCTGACCCCATCTTCGTGAGGGTTATTTTGAACATCGAAGGCGCGTGGAAGTACCCAAACGACCTCGTGATTACGTTGGCTAAACGCCGCAAGACCACGGTTCCGGTCGGTTGCCGTTTACAAAGGTATCCCTGGCGCGTAATCTTGCTTCAGTTGACGTTCCGGAGTTCTTCGAAAGGATGCTTTTGTTTGGATTCTGCGATGACCCAACAGAAACGTCAGCGGTCCCATAAGGCTTGAAGATGGTCCGATAAGTTTCCTTAAGCGACCTGCGGTTGTCTAGTTTTCAAACCGGTCAAAACATGGTTAGTGATCTTAGCCTTTCCATGGAGCTGCGGCTTTGGTTACTCTTCGTTTGGGTTCAATGGACCTGAACGTGTCAGCGCAGGGAGAAACAAATCGCTTTATTCCTTGTTTGTTCGGAAACGACAAGTGAAAAGAGAATGTCACAAATATCTGCGCCTCCAGAACCCAGGTGACGTGAATAGGAAGTAACAGCAAGAACATTTTCGACAATAATTTACCATTATAGTTTACATTACCTTTAACCAAGCAGAGAAGCAGCCCCTTCTCAAACAAACCAGGCTTTACTTAGGCCGTTCCGTCCCATTCTTGAACATTACATATTTGTCATTTCCCGTAAGCACATCAACGGAAAACACGTGAATTGTTCATTGTTTTTGGACGTGGACTCACTGACCTCGGGTTCCGTGGTCCGAATCCAACCTCTGCAGCTAGATTGCTTCTTTCTAGGTTTGCGAAATCTGGTACTATTTCGGCTCCCACGCGTCCTTTCTTTGGAACAATTTGGGAAGATTCCGGCCTTGTATTGGTGGGATTTGTACTAGTAACTGAAACTCCTAATATATGGACCTCAAAAGACCACGGAATGGAATGCCGAACAACTAAGTCGTATCAACAGGTGCGGTGGAGATTGGGATTTTGAAAGCGATGGAGGTTCACGAGTTAGTGCGCAAGCATGTCGCCTGGGGTCACTTATTTTGGTAACATCAGGGTGCGCTCGGGTGTTCCGAAACTATCACAACTTTTATGTCTTTCTCATCTTTCCCAGCAGCTGCTAATGTCAGTGCACCCATTATCCGCTAACACAAGCACTTTCCGTACAGGATTCAGTTCTAGCACGACCACGGGTGGTGACCTAATGCTTCTTTCACGTGAGAGCATTCGACCTAGACTACGCGAGGGGTTGAGAGTGTTAGGATAGTTTCCGCCGATAGACGCGAATGATTCGTTTTTGTGCTTGCCATTTATGTGCAGATGTGCCTGTCCCAGATTACCAGTTTTGCTCAAAATACCACGATAGTTTGGTGCCAGTGTATAAGCAGTGAAACCATCTTTCATAATCACTCTATAAAGTTCACTGTGATGACACTGATGTTTGGTGTGACATCAAGGTTGTGTGCCATAGTGATGTACAGGCTACTGTCCCGACACCTAATTAGTGCTCAAGGCATGGATTCCTCATACTATTCTTTCTGGGGTGTCTTCTATTTAAGGAGTATTAAGGAGGATGGTCGATCAGCAATGTGGTGTAAATTCACTTTTTTCCATGACAAAGTTTACCTCACCTGATCTGGTGTGACTGGGTCTCCTAACAGCTTCTTAAGTTCCTGTTGATACAGGATGACCGGCGTGTTTATGGCCAGCCAAGTATTTGGATGAATGGCATCACTTGTGAGATTAACTTCTTTCAGCTATGGACGTGTGTGGCAAGCAGGTAGTGAAACAGCCATGCTTTTCACTCGGATGAAACCATTGCACCAAGTCACCGGGCGATAAGAGTAGTCTCGAAAGATGTTGGTCTTGCTGTACAAGCCGCCGAAGGTGGCTGAAAGCTGATTGGATAGAATACACCCTGAAAACCCGGAATACTAAAATTTTGTGTGGGTTATTCGTGTGACATTCTTCTGATTCTCGATGAGGTGGTGAGCTCTAGTCGATGCACACCCTAGCAGGCTGGAATTTCGCTTGCCGTCAGTTCAGTAGCACACCAGCTACCGTAAAGCAGCGCCATGAGAACTTGGTTGCAAATTGACTCAAGCTGATTCCACTGTGATAACAGGACTCACTACGGGTCCGTTTATCAAAACGGATAGTACCGGTGATTCTCCGTGGTTGGTTGGGACAACCTCTTTCCAGGGCACGAGCGGATAAACCAGACGAGCACCGACTAACTCATATTATTGATGAACACGCGTGTTAAATCATCCCAACCGAGAGCTTGGTGGCGCCTGGGAGTACGTATGCAGTAAACCGCCAATGCAATGAAGGGTTCCCACATCAGTGATTTTTCTTCCAGCACCGGCTCATTTGAGCGTGCCCCCGCGATTCCGCGTTGGTAGCTGCAAGTTGTTGGACGAGTTGTTCCATTTTGTTCTTCGGGTCCTCCACTGATAAATTATCCATCTCCCCACCGACTGCAGCGTGGCCAGTGGTCCCTCGACCGATTCTCGTGCCAATTTCACTAGCTGCTCCACACTCAACTGGTCGGATGATCTCATCGGCACCAAGTAGGCACCAAGCATAGGCTGCACATCTTCGACGAACTGGTCAGGCAGATGCTTCCGGCCCGACACTCTGTCTAGTACCGGCAAAGCCCGATTCAGAGACTGCTGGAGAGTGGCAAAAACACCCTCGGGTCACATCCAAGTCCCGTCCTGGCCATCCTAAACCGCCTCATAGCCTTTCGAAGGTCACACAGTGGGTCGAGCTGCATTGCCAGATATTTAGTGGATAACGTGAGCAAATGCCAGTTCAAAGTAGTGAAATCAAGTGAGAAAAAATAGGCGAGATGATACAACTCACAGTTCGTTGGTGCAGTTAGTTATTACTACCACAATAAATCCAAATCGATCTCCTTCCTGGAATCTTCCTTGATATATTCCTAGATACTTTCTATCCCGTCGTAGTCTGAAAGGTAGATCACCGCTCGTTGATTCACTGCCAGCGTAAGTCGACACAGCAAGAAGGGAACACGCCTTTCACGAGGTGCAGAATTTGTATTGTCTCATATATCTGTTTGTGTTCATTTAAACAAAAGTTATTCGGTATGAAGAGAAGAGGAATAAGTTGAGATTTTAGTGAGAGATAGAAAGTGGTACAATTTGAGTAATGATAAGTTACAAAAACAGTACTAATGTACGCTGGTCAGAAGGATCACCATAGATATTACATCAGGACCGCCTTCGCCTGGCCTCTTAGGAGGGTCTTAATGACGCCAAATTAACCCGGTCGGTTTCCAGTGTAGGAAATTCTGAAACCTCCACGAATCCTCCTAGGGCATCCGCATAACCCCATCCTCACAGGCCTGTAGCCATGGGATCTACATCCTTGCCCCGGTCGCTGCACCAAATGAAAGAAAGAGGGGTTCGCCGTGAAATAGAAAACATAAAATGAACAGTTGCAGACTGTTGAACAAGAGGGCAAAACACTTGTATGCATCTTGTCCATAAAAACTAAATATACCTCCTCTTGAGCGTACTGTAGTGGCTAGAGTCTCTAGTGAACAGGGTAAATTACTAATGTAAGCCAGATACAAAGTTACAAGTAGAAAAATCCAAGTAAATCTTGGCTCACAGTTCAAAATAGGAGATTCCGTAGTTCCGTATTCCGTTGAACCACCACACCAAGAATAGTTCTATCTTCCTGGTATTCCAGATCTCCCGTGATTGAAATATTAATTCTTAAGTGTGAATATACTAATCCAGTGTTTGAAGCTAAAATATTTGTTCACGTTTAGTGTTAGCGGCGGTCAAATATAGCCAACCGGCGGTCACAACAACAGTCACTCGTCAAAAGTCTCAAAGTCACGTTGGAGCCAACAAGAGGGCGGTAGCGGTTGTAGTTCAGTAAATTAAAATTTTGTACAGTGATGTGACTGATAATGATGGGGAAAAAGATGGTACTGAGCATGAAAAAGAGCAGTTTACAAGTGCTACAGTATCATACTTCATTGACTACCACCCGATGGTAAACGGATGCGGCAAATAATTCCACTAATTCCGAAATAAATCCAGCATTCCAACGGACGTGACGTGGGTTTATGATGAAACGTATTACTCACACATGTCATCAGTTGTATCCACTGTTACACCGGTGGTAATTGTCCTTTTCCTAGCTTATTTCTTGCTCTGAGTTTCCCTCTCTCTCCGTCTAAAAAACACCAAAGATGCACAAGTTAGATCAACGCCCAAAACCAAGTCAGGAATACGTGTACAGCACTTCGTATATATAGTGTGAGCATTAGCAAACTTCTGGAAATTCTGACGCGTTCAGCGTGCGACATTGGCAACCGGCATTCAGCCAACACTGGGTCGTGATTAGCTGTTATATTCAGATTTTCAACCAATCAGATCTCGCCTTGGTGATGGTACGGCAAGTGCCCCCAACATTTGTCCGATCTTGCGTGGGAAGGGGCTCTCGGTGTACTATACGGTGTCTGTCATTTTGATCGATTCATATGTAAGTATTGGTGATGTACAATCTTGCTTACTGGGCTTTGGCTCATGAGCTTTGTTTCTGTTTTCCATCCACAGAAATTGTCGGTTGTACATGCTCCTTCTCGAACCCAATTTAAAGCACTATTAGACATTTATTTATGCGAATCCTCGCGCTGGCGTGCATACTGCCCCGCGCTGAGAACATAAAGAGCAGTGCTACACCCTTTTTCACTTGTGCCTTTCAGGTGAACGACAGCCACTGACCGACAAGAACAAAACCGACCCGGGAAACTTGGGCAAAAGCCTCGATCCTGTGTATCAATCCGTGAATCCGTGAACACCTGTCTTCGGAGAATCACTGTCCCCTGGTGCTTCCATAGGGTGCATATTACATCGGCAGTGGCAGCGCCTGACTGCGAGTGGTAAAGCGAGATTCCTGTGGAATTCCGCCTACCACTCTCATCTCTTGGGATAGTGGCCGTAAAACGAGACAAATCAATAGTTAGCAACCTTGAGATATGTGGCTGTGCCACGCAGCCAACAGAAGTCTGGCATTAAAGCTATCGCCTTTACTGCGTAGCTCTTACCCTCTGATATATTGGACAGACAGATACATATCTCGGCACTGCCCTGATTGGGTCATATCTTCAACGCATTACCCTCATCTCCTTATTCTCATTATTCTCTGTGAACGAAGTTTTAACATTTCAGACAATTGCATGCATGTGCGTGGCTATCAGCTGAAGCGAAATAAACTAAACATGGACTCTACAAGCAGACGATGTACGAAAGTTGTCAATATTCGGCGTTCGGTGTCTGCGAAGCATTGTTGGGGTCTTGTGGGAATATCAAATAGGCGATGCTAAGGTCCCGACCTAAAGGCGCCACCTAGACGTGGTGTTCGGGCTTGAGTGCGCATTGGTAGTGCGGGCTACACTGGCTGAAACTTCGTTTCAACAGGCGTAGGTAGCCAAAAAGGCCAAGGGATAGCAGTCAGACTAAGAGCAACACGAATAGTCGTGCTACGAGTCCGCCTATGATTGAATTCTCGCTCTTCTCTAAGGTGGGAGTGCGAAGACAGGAAGGTATTTCCGTCAGGCGACCAATATGAACATATTCACGAAATCAGAGATGCTGGCTTCCCCCGTGAAAGGACTGGTTAGGATATGTCAGCCATAACTGTACACTTCGATTACCCAACGGTTGGCCGTGTCCACCGGCGCGTTGTTCAATACGGTCGAAATACTTAGAACCGAAGAGTCTGGTGCTGCTCAACTCCACGAGATCATTCCTACGTTTACACTCTTTGTCAAGTTGGCGAACAAGTACTGCTAGCTGAAACCTTATACTCTCTTAAAATTGATGTGTGCTGTGTCCGAAACACAAGCGCCAAGGACGAACTCAGCTCTTTCACCTTTCTCCTTCCATGTGTCCAATGATCCAGGTGCAATAAATCGTGGAACATATGGCGTGTGAGCGGCACTCAGCCGCAGAGCTGAACGCGCGCTGCTTGACTGGACTTCAGTGAACAGTCGTCTTTGCGCCATCAGGTCATCCAGCGCAGCCAAGCTCAATGCCTCTCGTTGCCCATTTGAACTGTTGACTTACGCTCCAACGGACTCCAGTTCTGACACTGATGAGGATACACTCTATCAGGAGCTATTTGGGATTATTCATCGAGCATGAAGTACTGAAACTGGAATCCTTGCGGGTGATATGAAAGTTCAACTCAGTGGTCTTAGCTCCTTGGAATCAACTTTTGGCTCGGAGAGCCATTCCTCTTCCAGTTGTGCGCTGATCATCGATTCTTTCTTGCCAGTACGAACTTCAGCATAAAGGTTCGCATCGCGCAACTTGGAGGACCCAATTAGATCACGTGGCCATCAGCCACCGATGGAAAGCCACAATTCGAGACCGACATTCCTTCTGGGGCACACTACGTGGTTCTGATCGTGCCAATGTGCATGCACGCCTAACATTTTGTTTCTCTTTAGACCCTTGCAAATCAGCGACAAGATTCCAATCCCCAATCTCCTAAGGATTACCGTGGCTCAACAATATCGACCTGAAATGGCTCTCTACAGTAAAACAATACTTTACTGGTAGTGAGCACGTGGACGAAGCATAGAAAAATGTGAAATAAGCATGCAGTGCTGTCTGTTCAACCTCACCGATTCGACCACAAGACCACTGGATGTCGTCTGTATCGCTCGTCATGATTCATGCCAAGAAATCCATACCAGTAGGCAACAAGTACGACGGCGCTCGCAAATCCCTCAGGTGCCAAATAATGAAAAGTCAGGAAAAATCGAGAGCTCTGGGGGACCTCGAAAGTTTGGGTGATGGAGGAGGCTTTTGCTACCAGAAAGGACTTTGCCCTATATCAATTGTTACGATCGACCGACCCTGGGAAGACAGTGATCGGTGAAACGATAAGTGAAAAAAGGAGGCTGATTGATTCACTCGCAAAAATGTCAACTGGAAAGATGGGCCGAACACTGCGAAGAACAGTTCAGTTGGCTTCTTGCGACACAGCCTATGGAAATAATGTGTACGGGCGAATGGAATGTAGACCTTGATTGCCCGTCGGAAGAAGAAGCGTGCGTACAGAAACGTGAGAAGGAACCAGGACTGGACGGTCTTTATCCAGCCTTTTTCAAAGAAGATAGAGAAACCCTGGTGACCCATTCAAGTGAGCTTATTTGTGTTATATGGAACGAAGAGAAGATGCCCACGCAATGGGCATGTCTACAGTTACCCCTATCTTCAGAAGGGGTAGGCGGACACTGTGTGAAAACCACCCTGGCGTCAGCCGGTTTGCTGTGGCATCAATGATCCTCTCTGGTCCTATCCTTCGACGGTTGACTGAAGACAGAGAGGCAGATTCGCGAAAACCAGGCTGGGTTCCTTTCTGCCAGAGGGTGCATCGGTCATATCTTCACTCTTCGACATATTTCGGAACAGCGACACTGCTTCCAGCAGCCAACAATGGTTGTGTCCCTTCATCTGAAAGGTATTTTTGCATCTGTGAACCGTCAGGTAATATGGCAATGTTTATGGAGCAGAGGTGTCCCTCACAAATTCATGACCCCTCCTTAAGGCGCTATGTGCCAACCTCCATCAATGTATGGAGGTCTACGAGAAGCTCTCGCCTGAGTTCACCACATCAAGTGGTGTCAGTCAGGGATGTCCTCTTCCACCATCCCTCTTCAACTTCGTCATTGATACGATTACGGAAGACTCACTACTGGCCTCTAATGCCTCTGGAGTCGAAGTGCTCCCCTCCCCCGGGACGTCCGATCATGGATATTGAGTACGCAGACGACATAGGTCTTCTTGGATATGTCACCGTGGTAATGCGAACAACATTAAGCAGTCGAACCTGTGTTACCTGTGGCGTATGTGTGACATCAGCTCATTTATCAAAGGTTGAGTTTACAATTCTCTCGTGTGATCCATGTTGCTTTACGGGTCATGAACGTGGTCGCTCCAAGCCAAGGACGTCAAAAGGCTTTCGGTGTTTGACCATCGATGTCTTCGGAGCATTACCCGAGTCTGGTGGGAACACCGAATCCGCAGTCTTGAAGTACTCCGAATAGTACTTGGAAGAAACTTGCCCACGGTAGGTGAACTGATCACAATCCACAGGTTGTGGTGGCTTGGCCACGTACTCCATTCGACCGACTTCCTTGAAAGCTGTTTTCGTGCGCCATGCGACGGGCAAAAACGAGCCAGAGGAGGTCAAACAATGAATTGCATTTGTCTTTATCGTCTCCCCGGATGGGGCTCCCGAAACGAGACACATCAATGGTTAAAGCGGTGCTCGTGCATCCAATCTATTGTCTTCCATGCATAACCCCCTCCCAATCTTCACAGCTACAAGTTCACTGATGGCCCTGTATTTACGCGTCAATTATACCAGCTCGGATGTTTGTATACCTACCCCATCTCCCCAACTCATCGTTGAACGAAACTGTGGGAGGTGCAACCACTGTGCGGCAAGTTCCCGGTTCTCACAGCTGATGACGAAGATGATGATGCTAAGGTACGTCAGATGATCTTAAGAAAAAATAGCTTTCTTTCACTTCATAGGTTATCCTGGTCAGGACGTTCACTCCGCACACCAGGGGACCGTTTGCTTCGCGGAGCTCTTTTTTGCCATTCATGGGCTGAATGCCAGAGATTTAGAGGTGGATAGTCAATGAACTGGAAACGAAGTATGACAACACTAATCAGTAAACTCAGTTGGGTTGACAACTGCCATCCCCCTTGATAGGGACCCTGGGACTGAACTTAGCAACAGTTAATAACACTGGCAGATATAACCCGTTCACACTCGTGCACCAAAGGCATCGCCTTTAATGCGTGGCTTCCAATTTCCCCAGACTAACTGATCTTGTTATGCGCCTCATGCGTGGTTGCATCTCCCACGCTCCCATATTTTCGGTGACTGGTACAATTAGCAGTGGGAGCCAACATACCCTTGGTACACAGTTTATAGCCGACAAACTGCCTGATCAATGCAACTCAGGGGTCATGGTGGCACACGATTTTCCACGTTACGGTAAAGTTCGATTTCTTTATAACGGACCATCTTAGGTCTGGTGGGTAATCTTGCCAACAGGGGAAGAGGGAATACCAGATAGGGAGAAGGGAAACAGAAGTTGGAATGGGCGGGTTAGCACGACCGACACATTTTTGAAGATTTTCGCCATGCACTCATCCCTTGAAATTCAGGGGTATGATGCTTTGCCGCCATAGATGTCTAAAATCAGTAAACCCGTCACGAAGAGACTGGACCTTACCGTGGTGTGACGGTTTCCGCACCTCAGCGATCCATTGAGCTATACTGGAGAGTGTCCCGCGACACTCACAGAGTCTCCCACACCAAGTTGGTCAATGGTTAGAGGTCTGACGAACACAGTCTCCTGGCCCTCCAGGTTGGGGGTTGGAACATGTGGCGACTTGTTCCGTAGAAAT